TCTCTCTCTCTCTCTCTCTCTCTCTCTCTCTCTCTCTCTCTCTCTCTCTCTCTGTGTGTGTGTGTGCACACAGAAAACCTCCTGATGAGTCGCTGAAAGTCTGACGAAACAGTCTGGCACAGTCGTGCTTTTTTCGAGTGTATAGCAAATATGACAACACAGTGAACACACATGCATATTCTGCGTGATATGCTTGACAACTCGTCTCGTGGCTGTTGGCAATAAAGGCACGGGGAGAGCACAGCAGCAGATGTTTGAAATGCAGAGAAGCAGACAGGGTTTGTGAACTCCATTTGAATTCGGAGGCCAAAATGTGTGTACATGTACTGCAGCAGCATTTGACTTCTAGTTGTACGTGTACCATTGTATTTGCCATCACTGTGTGTGCGTGTGTATAGTGAGATGAGTCCACCTCGTCATAAGACGAGGCAAGTCGATTAAAAAGATGACACAACAAAATAAATGCACAAAGTATTAGATACTCCTTTTTCCGAACGATCACCAGATACGTGTCCAACGAATCAAGCCATAATCTAGAAAGACCACTACCATCATTGTTCGTTTCAATTCACTGTTGAAAAATAGAGACCAAATAATATCATACCTTCATTGGACGGAGGCAGAAATACCAAGTGGAGACAGGAATTGCTGGGAGGGTGGCAAGAAGGCAGAGTAGTGGGAAGAAGAGGGGGTGAAGGGGAAACAGAGAGTAGGATAAGGGTAGTAGGGTAATACAAGCCCATGGGATGGAAATCGTAACGCACAGCTCACATCACATTTGGTAACGCCAGAAAAACTAATTTGCATAAGAACAGGACCTTTGTGCCTGTGGAAGGAACAGATGCAACGAGGATAGCCATAGGGGGAAGATTATTAGGACTTTAATCAAATAGAGCAGGTTCCGCAAATTCATGTGAGCTTGAAGAACTGCGACAAAAATCTTGAAGTTAAGCGTGTATTCACAGAAAACACGAAGCTTGAGAAGAGCAAGTGTTCTTCTGTCAAAGAAACAGTCGGGATCAAAGTGAACCACAACTACGAAATAACAATTGTTCCAATCAATCCGACCGAAGTCCTTCACAAAGCAACTCCAAACTGTTCCCTCAGCACACCATATCCAATCCTATGATCCCGAATTCCATTACACATCCTCTCAATCGTTTCGAAATCCTATAAGACAACTGTCTAAACTTCGGAAGGAGGGTACTAAAGAGAGATTGCAACAGAGGAAGGATTCCCCTATTTCTAAGCCACGCAACTCAGAGTACACCTCATTACGAGGCAAAAACACGCTCCTAGGATTTAGAGAAGGTAGGACACGACCATACTGTCAACCACCAAATCCATAATTAGCACAATAATCCTATCACCAGAAGCTCTCCGGAATAGACGAGAAATCGATCGAATCGAGGGAAGATCACGAGTACTGCAACCGATCTTCTAACAGAAAAACCAAGGACATCAGTCAAGGTGGACAGAAGGAATAGGCAGTCACATGACTCATTCTTTCCTCCAATAATACCATCAGTCTAGGAAGACCATACTGATACCAATTGTCTTCCCGGTCCTCGACCTTCTCCTCCTCATCCTTCCTCTTCCTACTCTTCCCCCGTTCCAGATGCTGCTTTTGCTTGCCTTGGCAATGGGATTCATTTTAATCTTGGGTAGATTTTGCATGTTTTTCCCTTGTTTTTACAGGGTCCAAGTTTGTTTAAAATCCTTCAAACTTAAAAGTTAAAAGGAAATTCTGGGGCAACTGTTTTGTGTCCTAAAAGGCTGAAGCCGGAAAGTGATGTAGACAGCATGTGCGTCCGCTGCACGCTTCGTTCTGGAGGACCCACCACCTCTCACCCCGTCCATGTCACCTTCATGCCGGGTCCAGACAATTTTGCAGACCTTCTGAAATTCCCTCCATGCTTTTGTTCTCTCTCTCTCTCTCTCTCTCTCTCTCTCTCTCTCTCTCTCTCTCTCTCTCTCTCTCTCTCTCTCTCTCTCTCTCTCTCTCTCTCTCTCTCTCTCTCTGTGTACACACAGAAAACCTCCTGATGAGTCGGTGAAAGTCTGACGAAACAGTCTGTCACAGTCGTGCTTTTTTTGAGTGTATAGCGAACATGACAACACAGTGAACACACATGCATATTCTGCGTGATATTCTTGACAACTCGTCTCATGGCTGTTGGCAATAAAGGCACGGGGAGAGCACAGCAGCAGATGTTTGAAATGCAGAGAAGCAGACACGGTTTGTGAACTCCATTTGAATTCGGAGGCCAAAATGTGTGTACATGTACTGCAGCAGCATTTGACTTCTAGTTGTACGTGCACCATTGTATTTGCCATCACTGTATGTGTGTGTGTGTGTGTGTGTGCGTGTGTGTGTGTGTGTGTGTGTGTGTGTGTGTGTGTGTGAGTGATGACGTGAGAATTAGAGTATGGGTGTCTGTGTCCATAAGTGATTAAGTGAGAGTTAGAGTGAGTGTGTGTGTGTGTGTGTGTGTGTGTGTGTGTGTGTGTGTGTGTGACATAACACACTAAGAACCCACAGCATGCTGTGATACGACCGTTCAGACCACAGGCTAATACATGCATCCGGACTTACGTTCTTTATCGCGGGGAGTCATTTTGGAAGTAACTTGGTGATGTACTACTGACATAGGCTAGCAAGGCTATTCCCAAAGTAACAAAGGCAAAGATCAGAAGAATGGAAAAGATG